ATATTTAAAAGAGAAACTACATGGTCTTTGTTATATAACAGAAATAATATTTCTGTTCTAGTCTGATTACAATCAACACAGATCCAATTTTTCAAATACAGATGGCAATGCTAGCTCCAAGAGTGAAGGCTTCGATGAAACACAGCATTTTTCAAACTACCAATTGATACTCATGACATATGATGAGATAATGGAACAAATAACAGTGAATTTACATTGTGATTTCTAAATTCAGGCATTATAGTTTGTATACCTCACACTTTCTTTCTTTAAAAAGAAATGTTATGTGGTTTTTCACTTATTATGAGTTTCTAGCTGTACTTTATCAAAGCAAAAAAAAATCTTCCTTCCTTTCTTCCTGCCTCCTCCTTTTCTCCTTCCCCTCTTTTCTATCTTTGTCTCTGTCTCTCTCTCTCTGTCTCTCTCTTCTCTTCTCCCTCCCCTCCCTTCCTTTCTTTTTCTTTGAGAGTACTGGGATTTGAACTCAGGGCTCTGTGCCTGGTCTACCACTTGAGCCACACCTCCAGCTCTTTTTGCTTTAAATTATTTTTTAGATAAGATCTCACTTTTTGCCCCAGGCTGGGCTCAGAAGTGATCCTCTTACCTATACCTCCCAAATAACTGGATAACAGTTGTGTACTACCACTGGGCTTGTTTAGTTGAGATGGGGTCTTAGGTTAAATGAGTAGTTAAAGGTAAGCACTTAGAAAAGTGTCTGGCATATAACACTTAATAAGCAGCAACTGTTTTTTCATATTGTTATTCTTGGTGTTAATTCCCTCCTGGGACAAATACAGCCGAACATTTTTTATTTAAAATTCAAAACTGGAAAAATAAATCACCAACAACCAATGAGTGAATGTTACTGTTTTGTTTCTTTTTAAGTATTAAATCACCACCCACAAGTGACTATGAAATATTTGTGGGGAGTTTCTGGCTTCGAGAAACTGAAATACTTTGTGAATTTGCTTGAACTCTTTTATATATAGTTATATATATAGACATATAAATATACATTTTATATTTTATATATATATATTTGGCAGTACTGTGGTTGAATTCAGGGCCTCATGCTTGCCACCACTTAAGCCACTCCACCAGTCCTTTAGTCTTGGGCATTTTTGTGATAAGGTCTCACAAACTATTTGCTGGGCTGGTTGTGAACTGAGATCCTGCTGATCTCTGCTTCTTGAGTAGCAGGATTACAGGCATGAGTCACCAGTACCTGGCAACTTATATTTTCTTAAAGCAAGAACTTTCCTATTGTAAAAGAAAGAGAACGTAAGTGATATACCCTACTTTAAAGATGGGAATGATGGAACAAACAAAAATATGGATCATAAGCAAAGACAAAATTCTGGCAACATATTCATATTTAGCAACAGTAAAACCTAATTAAATGCAATAATTCAATAAGAATTTGGATTTGACTGGTTTTAAGTCTTGAGAGAGAGAGGTGGCTAATTAACAACGCAGAATTACCTATCATAACATTACAACCTGCCTAAATTTGAGCTGAATTTAAGCAGTTCAAATAAATGTGGAGACTCATCAAACCCTGAGCCATAACCTTTTGGTTCCCATAATATATTTCACTCTTAGAAGACAGGAACTCCCTTAATAACTGACTATACATGTCAAGGAGAAATAAGTCCTAAGGGGAATACATGGATATTAGGGAGTTTATTTTTTAAAAATCCATGATATGTTATGTTAAAACAAAAGCCTGATTATATTTTGCATTGTCATATTTGTAATAGTACTAACAAGTTATTGATGAGAATGATTTTCAAGAGCTAGGGATGTAGTTCAGTTAGTAGAGCGCCTACCTACCATGAGCTAGGCCCTGGGATACATTACCAGAATCACAAAAAGAAAAAAAGATTTTCAAATAGCTCAGAAGACAAAATGTAAACACTTTCAAGCTTTGGAGTTTAAAAAATTTTTAAACATAGTCTGAAATTTTAAAAAATATTATCACTTATCTACAATACATTTTCTTAAAACAATGGCACCTGTATATCTTCCAATTCTTTATAGAAAGCCTGTATTAGTAGAAAGTTTTGAAATACAACAGATGATGCAAGTGCCAGTAACAATATATTCTTGCCTTTTCTACACAGGAAATTGCTAGTATTCTTAAAGAATTAATAGGCTCTGGAAAAGAATCCCACAAAAATTCAAAAGCCACCTAATCAGATCAGTTTCATTGTCTATCACTTCGAACAGGAATATTTCACTTACTTCTTACAGGAAAGTTTCTAATTAATTAAACAGAATAGGAGAAAAGATAATAGCAAAATATGAAATAACTTCCCAATTATTTGTCAATTATCAGTTGGGCCATTATAGTCTATTTTATGTCTGGAGGTTCCATGAAATTTAAATCAAATGAAAAATGCCCAGGAAAATGTTACTTTTACATATGTTCTTGCTTTCAATGACAAAGTCTAAAGTATAATTTAATAGGAAGGCAGTACAATAAACTAGTTTTGTTACTGGCCAAATGATGGAGTTTGCTAAATGTTATGTTAAAATTTAAAAACAATGAAGGCTAAGATGATGGTAGCATTCTTTAGGTACTTCAAAGCCAGTATCTTCAAGTTAAAAAGGGGAGAGAGAAAGAGGGAAATGTGCCCATTTAAGATCAAAGCACATTCCTCCAGGACATTTGTCTTTTAACAATACTTCAGGCTATATTGCAGGAAATTTACTATAATTACCACACAAATTTTGCTTTTTCTGCAGGAAAGCATTGTAGGATTTATATACTCTAGGAGGTGCTATTTAAGAATGAAGATTTTTTAACTGAGAGAATGAGAGTCATGAAGATGTAAAGGAAGTTGATTCAGTATTGACCTTTGTAACTATCAAGTAAAGGACCTCATACATAATAAAACTTTTGGAAAAACTTGTGAACACCAAATAAATTTGCACTCTTCATTATATAACATTTTAAAGTAGGATAGAAACTATTTTCTTAATTTCATTTGAAATAAAAAGATAATTTGTAAAAGACACAAACCAGAGATAAACTTAGTATAAATAGCCTACCATAAAACAACCCAAGAATGTACTTGATGGAAATAAATACAGAATTTTAAGGAAGAACCTGGCCCAGCTATTCAACATGCATTATCATAAGGTAGATGATTGGGAAGGCTAGATGCTCCCTCACTCTAGGAAGCGAGCTGGCTAGCTCCAGGTCATGGCTCAATTCTACACCTTCTACTGTGAGACTCCCATTCCTCTTTTCATTTTCAGACCATTTCCCCTGGTACCATAAAGTCAACTTTCATTCACATGGCTTTCATCAAGTTATGCTTTTAAATATTATACACTAACATTCCTAAAGCTTTCATTTCTTGCTCCAATTTCTGAATTTTATGCTTCCGTGCACAAATAAACATTGGGCAAAAAAAAAAGTGATAAGTCTGCCTTCTAAACACATAAGCACTGACATTTTTGTTTCCTTAGAGAGGTAGTACTTAAGTACTTTAATGTTTTATTGCATTTTATTTTTCCTTCCTTCCTTCTTCTCTTCCTCCCTCCCTCTCTCTTCTTTCCTTCTTCTTAAAAGAAAATGTGACTCTGAAAGAGGATACCTACAGATGGAGGCACTGAAGGCACTGTGCCACTTCAATGGGAAAGGTACTTTGTAAGTAGGTAACCTTGGCTGAGATTTCTCAAATCTCTGTGCAAAAGAGCTTAACATTTATTGCTTCACCTTACCAGGATATGCAGTATGGTGTGGTAATTGGCACATTCCTGCAAAATCAGTTTCTATTAACCCTGACTCCACCCATCTAGACCCTCTCTTATGGTCCTGCCTTTTTCTGCCACTCCATGACTTTCCTTCTGACTTCCTTCTCTTTACACTTTGTAGAGCCACTCTTGGCTCCTTCTTCTTTCTGATGTGCCTTCTTCCACCTCTTTAAATTGAACATTTACTTTTCTTTCTGACCCTGTGTATAGTTTTCTTTTTGGAGAATTTATCCTGAAAGGGAAAAACATGTTTAACTGATATCTTTATGAGGTAATAAAATTGCAAATTTCATTTTCTATAACTAAGAATGACTTTAATATGACTTACTTAAAGACCTGAAAGTAAACATTATACAAACATATAAATATGGAGTATTTATACTTGTTACAAAAGCAATTTAAGGACTTCCATAATTTTACATTTAAGATTATTGCTATATATATAATTAGAAAGCTTGAAGAGGGCAAATCAGGTATTTTTTTTTCATTATTTAGAGAACACTGTATTAGTTTCTGTAATCAAATTCACATAAATAAGACCTTACATATTTAGCACAGTGCATTGATGGTAAATGTTTAAGGTTTCTATACCAACATGACTATTAATTTCTGACAATGCCAACTCAACATGGTGAACTGGAATACTTTCTTACAAAGTTGATAGCATAGTTAAAGTTTTCAAAAATTCAAGCTATGCGTATGTATGTACATATATATATATGTGTATGCATGTATATATATACACACACACACACACACACACACACACACATATATATATGTACACATATATATGTATATCCCAATAATAGCAGAATAGGTATTTTATTAAGAAATGCAAATATAATATTAGGGTGCTTATTAATCTTTATAACTATTGCATTAACATTCAAAATCAACATTGTTTTTTTAAACATTGATATATACAGCAGGCAACCCATAAGAGTTACTACACATGAAAAAATACAAAAGAAACATCTGCTTAATTCTTTCTGTGGGAGCATTTGAAGAAGACACAGACCTCTTAACCTAGGCATTTTGTTTTTCTGATGAGCTAAACAGATATCCAGGGATCTCTCAGATATAATTCTAGAGGAACCTGAAAATCTTAGTAAACAACAGGATATATACGTAAGTGTGACAGTTTGCTCACCTTTCCATCAAAGCGTTTTATTATATATTGATCCAGGCCCAAGTCTGAAAAAGAGAACAAAAAAATTAGCCACTGATTATAACTCCAATGACATGTATAAAATGAAGCTCTCAGTTTTGTTTCCAGTTATTCAGTTAAATACACTGGATGGTTTAAGACCACAGGAATGAATATTCTGACTCACTTTCAGAGCCAAAGGATAAAAGTTAAAGATACCAATTTTTAATTTACATATAAGAACAGTAAGGCTATGAAAAAGTAAAAGTTGCATGTGCAAACCTACTCAACAATAGAGTCAAATAAACTCTGGACTCCTTCAGGATGGCACTAGTTCCATTACATCACCTTGAATTAAGATACAGGATATAAGGGGAGGGGGAATAAAGGATGGAGAGGGTGAATTCAATTATGATTTAGTCTAAGAAATTTTGTAAAACTCACAATGTACCCCCAGTACAACAATAATAAAAAAATTAATAAGAAAAGAAAAAAGATACGGAATATAAGTTTAATTTCAATGCATAATAATTTTTTTGGATCAGCTAAAAGAGCAAAAGAACCTTTGCAACACATCTAAATAATCACAAATAGATCATCTTAATATTACCTTTTGAAGTTGAGTTAAATAACAAATATTTACTTGGGATACCTAGCTTTGAATTCTGAGCACTGTGAAACACTAAGTAAATAAGTAAATACATAAGTGCCCTTGAGGGCAGGGCCTTTTTGTCTTTGCACGCTGCTTTATCCTCAGCATTTGAAACAGTATCTTATCAATAAACAGCCATGAAGAATGAATATATAACATTCGGTCCTGCACTGAAGATTCACAATTTTGTCAGAGGATTGTGGACGTAGCTTAGTAGCACAGTGCTAAGATCCTGGGTTCCTTCTCCAGACCACATACACACAAGGAAAGATAATTTTGTTAGAAAGACACATAGTTATAATAATATTATGAAGGAGCATGTAAATAGTTCAGTAAGACATAGGAGTTTTGAGAGCGGAAAAACTAGAAAGCGGTTCCATGTGTGCTTATTTTTCTTGCATAATTATTCAGTTCTTTTTTCTTCCTCCTGTTTTCATTGTATTTGTGCTAGCTCAGGCATGAATACAGTATCCAAAGTATTATAATAATCAATTATCACTGCTCCCAAAAGAAGCTTTTTGCATTTCTGTTTTGCACATTTGGTTACACATTCTGCTGATCTGAAATGTGCTACCCCTTCTAGAAGTCTGCACTGAACAAATGGAACCAATGCGTATAAAAGAAAACAGGTAATTCAGGAAAGAGAAGGAAATTTTTAAAACAATTCCAATGTGAAGTTTCATACGCAGTCAAGAAGGCATCAGTTAAAATGACAGAATAAGCTTCTATGATAAAAGAACAGAGAACAACAAAAACTGAAAACTTCACCTGTCTCCCCCTATTTTTCAATAAACCATCAAAAGAAAAGGATAAGGCGACCCATACATTGCCAAAGAGACAGCAGGATGGAAAATAGAAAGTGTAAGAGAAAATTATAGAAAAAGACACTAATTCAAGAGGTTTAATACCTATACAATCTTTCATCATTCACAAAGAGGGAAGAAATAATCCAAAAAGTATTAGCAGAAACTTTTTCAGAACTAAAGAGATAGGTAAACTAAAAGAACTTTCCAAGTGTTCTCAGCAAGATAAACACAACCTACCTCTATCCAGTGGATGTTTCTAAAGTTTCAGAATAAAAAGCATAAGAAACTCCTAAAGGTTTCCTGGAAATAAAATTTCCTAGTTCCTTAAAGAGGAATAAGCATTAGTCTAGATTCAGATATCTATGAGTAAGATTTGGTTCAGCAACTGGAGCAGCACTGTTGAAAAGAAATGTATTGTAATAAATACAAATCATACGCAATTTAAAATTCTCTAACAGTTACCTTTAAAAAGACAAAAAGAAACAAGTGAAATTAATTTTAATATTTCATTGAATATATCTAAAATATCATTTCAAGTAGTAATCAAGAGAAAATATCCATAATGTTTTACATTATGTAAAACAGATATTTACATATGAAAAGTTAATTTTTATTGTCTTATAAATTAGTTGCTATTGTCCTAATTTGACGAATGAGAGGGTTAAGATTTGGAGGTATTGAATACTTTGCTTAAGTCTGAAAGCAATACCTTTCTTTCAATAATGGATACAGAAAGTAGACTGAAAATCAGTAAATCAATAAATGGAGGTCAGAGAAAAGTGGGAAAGAAGGACCCCAAAAAGGAGCAAAGAAACTTTTGGGGGTGGTGTTCATTATATTGATGTGGTGGTTTTACTGGTATATACATATAACTAGTATGGAAAAACCCATCAAATACTTTATAAATAGTAAATATATTATATATAATTATTGCTTATTTAGTTAATTATGCCACAATAAAGCAGTTAAAAAGAGAAAATATAAGTCACCAAGGAGAAGACTGATACACTTGAAGGTATTAATATTGACAACTTCTATACATTAAAAATTACCAGACATAGTCCCCAGAAAAGAAAAAGATAACTATAATGCATATAAAAGATTTAAATAGAGTATATAAGATATTTCACTAATGAAAACAAAAATCAAGTAGAGAATGAGCAGGAAAAACACTAACAATTCAGAAAATGGCAAACTGAGTAGTCAATAACATGCACAGATGCTAAGTCTCACTAGCTGTTAGTAAAATGCAAAAGAAAACCACATAGATACAATCATTTACTCATGTAAGTTTGCTAAAAAAATTAAGTTTGGGGCTGAGGGTGTAATTAAGTGATAGAGGGTGTGCTTAGCACATGTGAAGTCCTGGGTTCAATCTCTAACACAAAATAATAAACATTAAAATAGTAACAATTTAAGTCTAATAATATCAAGTGCTGACAGGAATGTAGAGGAGATTTTCATTCATTTGTGGAAAGAGTATAATTTATTATATCTGCTCTGGAAATACATTTGGCAATGTCTAAGGAATGTGAAGAGGAATGGGCTACAAGTCTACTTCCTGGGAGATGCTGAAAATAACTTCTCAAAACTGCAAAAAGAGAGATACAGAAGATCATTCACTATAGTATGAGTTGTAATAAAAAAAAAACTGGCACAGCAGATTATTGTTAAATATTCAGTTTCTTCCCTTTGACCTTCATGGAAAAGTCCCTAACTTTAGGCTCTGTTATGTGACTTGCTTTAATGAATGAGATATTAGCAATTTAGGAGGACAGGCATACTTAAAGTGGCCCTTTGAAGTTAGCTTGCTTTCTTCTATCTCTGTCATCACTATGACAAGAATATATCTTGGACAGTCCTGTAATCTAAAACAAATGATAAGCAGAGCATGTCATAGCCTAGATTCACCAACTCCTAGCCTATCTACAGAGCCAAGTCTGCTAAGATCAGAACAGTATACCTTATGTGACCTTCAGATACATGAGCTAAATAAATGTTTTTTGTTACTGACATTTTGTGGTTGCTTGTTACACAGCAACAGCTAGCTGATAAAATTAGAAACAAGTTAAATGTCCACCTATTGGAACATGGATAAATTAAATACTGGGACATTTATAAATTTATACAAGTGATATTCATTACTATATAGCACTGAAAATGAAAAGAATAGCTACATACAAACATACACATAAATATACACATAACATAAGCATGGGAAATGTAGAAGTTGTGCTGCAATAACACTATTAAAATCTCAGTGGCGGTAAGGGCAAGGGAGATTCCAGGATGGCAGCTAGAGCGAGGAAGCAGAAAGTGAGCTTCCTAAAGTAAAATCTTGGAGAGATGCTGGAGATACACATTAAAGGACAAACCACTGAGAAGAGGCAAAACTTTGACTCCTCCACACCTCCAGCCCACGCATAGCATCTCAACTTCACATTAAACGGAGAAACCAGGAGGGCTCCCACACAGCCGCCTGACGCGAGCACCCAGACCACTTGGAAAGACGCAGACCACAAGGTGAGCTAAGCGGCACACGGTACTCCCACAGACAGCCCTGGGCCAGATCAGCATAGCCCCCTGGACAGACCGACCCCCACCCAGGGAAAAAAGAAAAAAAACCTGAATAATAAGCAATAACAACAAAAAAGACACGTAGCAAAGAGGGCGGGGCACCCTGAGTGCCAAAGGGGAGGAGGGGAAATCCCTCACGGAACTGTAAATAAACAAGCTGGCTGGAGAAGGCAGGAGCAGCAGCACACAACCAGCAACCAGGAGCAGGAAAGCTTGTTAAAGTGGCAGTGGGAGGAAAACTCCACAGGAGAGGGGGGAAGACCCACTTCCCATGTGAACAGTAAATAAACATGCAGCCCTAAGAAAGCTGGTGCAGTTGTCACCTCCCCCAGTGTGCTTGGAAAGGGGAAAGCTTGTAGCAGTGGCTCACGCAAGGGAGAACTCTAAGTAAACAAAGCCTGCAGGGCCAGGTGAGTGTTAAGCTCATTTCTGAGATCTGCATGAATAACGCCTCCAGCAATATCTGGCTGACAGTAGTGGGCAGGTGAGCCACAGCCTCAGACAGCCATTCACAGAACTGTCTCCAGACTCTTTTTTTTTTTCCTCTCTTCCTTTGATGAGACAACAACCGAACTATACCTGCATGCTGAAAAACTTACTGAAAATGTATTGCATTTGAACTTGGGAGACTTTATGGTGTTTTTTTTGTTTTGTTTTGTTTTGGTTTTTTTGGTTTTTTCCCCTTTGATGAGACAACAACAGAACTACTTTTGAGACACCATCTCCAGGATTGGAGGCTGAGGAACTAACACCAAAATTATTAAGACCGAAACTTTATTGCATTTGAACTTGGAGATTTTTTTTTTCAATCCTCTTTCTGTCCCTCTAATGCCTGTTCAGCTTACTGTTGATTAGTACACTATCTATCCCTGTTTATATCTTTGAAATTTTTTTGTTTGCTTGTTTGTTTTGGTTTTTTTACTTGTTTATTTGTTTTTCCCTTTCTTTAACTTCCTTGCTTTCCCTCTCCTCTCACCCTTCCATTCTAAATATCACCATTGTTATTATTACA